GCGCATTACACGTTTGATACTCACGAGCTCCGTAATCCGTTAAAAACACCCGAGGGTTTAGAACGCAAATCCGGTTACTGCAGTTAAGCCGAAAGCGGGGCATCCGCTGTGAATCGCCGACAAAATAACACAGACATAGGTCAACTATTGCGATTAGATAATTCGACGATGTGATGAAATTGTAAGTGCGTGATCCGCGCATGAACCGCATCACGAGGACACTTTGTGTTCTATCAGTGAAGCATGAATTTTATTATTAAAGCCTTGCTATCGTAGCACTGTATCGAAGAGCATCGATACGCAAGATCGAGTGCCCTCTTTTTCGGCATGACGTACACACACGCGTTTCCCCAACTCGAAATTGAATTTCGCGCAGCGCCTCTCTCTTTCCTTCAGTCCTCACGGAATGAAAGTCAGTCGCTCGCTCGAACGCACCGACGCGGAAAATGAAGAAAAGTGTAGCTGCTGTAGAGCGTAGTCGAACCGCGTTATCGAAGTGTCGACGTCACTCAATTTAATAGAGTGTTCTTCTCCCTCCCTCACACTTTCTCGTCCCTCTCGCAAAATTGTACAATTTATTCTACGTCAAGCATCGCGCGCGCACAAAACTGGACCCATTGTTGAGCGAGCAAAGACAAATCGATTCGGGTGACATCGTGCGTTTAACGAAAAACACTCGCATACTCCGTCGAAACATTCGACCCGTTAATTATCATTCTCGCGTCCGCATTATCGTCGAAAATTTATCGCGGCTGCATGCGTAATTCGCGCAAGATAGCCATTGAAAGAGCGTTTCGTCCGTGTATCTAGGCGATAATAATTAATTGTCGGTAAAAAACGCGAAAGAAGAAGAGAAGAGGATTTGTCATTTTGTCACCACGCTAATTTCCCCGTCATCTCGAGCGAGACGAAAATACACCGGCAAACTTTCGTTCCGACGAAGGCGATGACGCCGCACTGTATGAATTAAAGATATCTAGATTCAATTTCGGCCGGCGGAGCGCGTTAACTTTTGAAATTTTACGCTCATTGCGTTAGGCAGAAGCGAAATTCGCGAGGGGTATCGTGTAGGGGCTTTACTCGCGGAAGAAATCAGCGTTGCGGAAGCTGAAAGCTCTTAATACTTTCTCAATTGAATCTTCCTCTCCGCGAACGCAACTCGCTACCGAACTCAATTAGCGGTCGGACGATATCCGGCGTCTTAGTTTCTAGAGAGTGAGGCCTACGTGTGGAATGCATAATAATGCATTCTTATCTCTCTCTCTCTCTCTCTCTCTCTCTCTCTCTCTCTCTCTCTCTCTCTCTCTCTGCTCTTTCCCTTCTTTCTAATTTTTAAGACAGACTGTTTGTTTCGAAATTGTGTCGTAACTTAACGCAGATCATTGATTAAAAATGGATAGTTTATAGAAAACGGATATCAAGCGATAATCTTATTCTCACTGTTATTATTAATTTTGAAAGTACATAATATTTTGAGAAATACATGGAAAATTTGTGAATACATATTTGAAGGAAGCAATGGATTTCAATTTTATCGTTAATTTGGAAACGTCCATGCGAATTATATCGCGTCATAATTTTATCATCAGAGTTTTGTACGCGAAGTGATGTGTTCCTCTGTTAAAATAATATGCGTGAAAGATGTATTATTACATTGAGTATATAGTCTGTCGGGTCAAATACATTAAATCATTCATTTCGTTCAAATATAAGTATTCAAATTTCATACTCCACACGAGTATGAATTGTGTAGCCAGTCGTAGCCAGTCGCTGTCGTTAAATAAATAAAAAATAGCACTTCAAGTTGATCTTTATACGTAAAATAGGTCAAGCATAAATTAGCACAAGCATAAAGAATTCGTAAGCAACATCTCGTATAGATACAAATTAATTCGCGTTATCCTCCTTCGAGCAGCTATGTTGCTTCGGTATTTATTATGTCCTGAACGTTACTATCCTGAATGTTACTAACGGAATTAACATCATTATTCACTCAAAGTAATCTTGAGGATGACTCGTTGCCTTGCCGTCAAAATACGGAAAGAACATAAAGAAGCGACTGTTACGTATGCGTACCTTTCTGCATTTTAATCTTCAATGTCGGCACTTTGAGAAAATTTCCGCTTGGAAATTCAAAACGGTCGCGCTAAACCATCTCTCGCCGTGCGCCAACGTGTGCCACGAAGAGGTGAAGGAAAAAGCATTAACGAGACATGACGGGCGCGATGCGGGAAAACTTGCGAGTCAAGATAGAAAGTCCCTTCCTCTCCCGTCTCACCCCCTCCCGCTTTAGTCCAACAGATTGCTCTATTTCCTTCGTCTCCTCGGACAACCGCGAGCCCTTCAAACGCACAGATCCGCGTCGCAGGCGAGTCAGTATCGTATTGTAGAAGCATGCAGAAATGAGATGCTGGCCGATATGTTCCCGCCAGCGTCGTCCCCGAATCCCATGATTCTAATGCCGGAAGCGGTCTATTAGCTGCGTAATAATAATGACGCCGACGGACACCCAGGTCACCGGCAACGCAGTCGCAGAACACGGCGCGAACTGTGCCGCCTTCGCATCTCGTTAGTCGAGACTATCTTAGTAGCAGTCCCGCTATCGGCGCCGTCGGTTCCATCGCTCCGTGCGGCCGTGCGGCCGTCGCGTTTTCCCGAATTTATCGACTTCCGGGCCGTGCCTTCGCGCTTCCGGCGGCGAATCGAAGGGGCGACCGAGCGCGCGGAATAGCGTTTCTCCTTCGGCCGTCGCGTCCTCGCGTATCTTCCGGGACAGACTGACGAGGATCGGATGGAGGACTAACGAGTCTAACGCACTGGTATCCTATCCATCGATATCGTTATCCGGATAGGTGCATCGACGATGACACGGTGACACCATCACCAGCGTGATACTCGCGGCGCAATTGAGCCGGATAGGCAACGCGCGCGCGAGCGCGGATATTACTATCAAACTGAGCAGGCAGTGAATGATTACTTTGTGGGTGAAAGCGGAAGCGCGTCGTGACGATTTTGCCGAACGTAGGCCGTGCGTAGGTGAGGCGAATAGAGGAGCGCGGACGAGAAGAGGTGTTTACGCTGGAGAAAATATGGGATCGCGAGAGCTGCGGGAAATTGATAATGACGTATTTGTCATTGCGTGATATCGCCGTTACTTCGCAGTTGTGCCTCGAAGATCTCTCTCGTGATACAATTGACGAGACGACGGCGCTCGTCGTCCGCCGATAGTGCCTTGTGTGCATTGTGTGCGAATGAAGTGAAAATCGATGGATCTCTGACTCGCGACGCGAGCGACGTGGTGATTACCTACCCGGTTATAGGATTCTACGAGAAATCCTGTACGAGAAATTTGCGAGTGCAACTGCGTTTCTCTACTTTGTTATCGTTCTGCTGTTGATTACTCGTTGCGTAACGAGCGACAACATGCGAGATGATTCAACAAGAAACGATGTTGCGCGTTTATGATCACGCTATTAATCCGACTATCGCGCACGCAGTGACATAAGCGATGCCTAGTGCGTCCGCGAGCACACGTCGTCACTCTATTTTACGTCTTCCGTTGAGTGTTTTACGCGCTAGAAGAAGATATCATATGTCCGCCGCATGCCTCGGTAGGTTTAACATCGCTGACAGCGCAGTTGTGCAACTGTGCGCGCTACAGCGTCGTCGTGAACTACGTGTCTATTGCCGAGTAAAAGGCACGACAGCTTCGCGAAGATGCACCGAGGTCGCGACCTTTGATCCAATCCGGAGTCGATTCCCCGTTGGCGAATATCAGACCGTCAAGTTTTGGAAAGCGCTGTTCGTTTTCCCGAAGGTCACATATATACACACGGATTCGATCAGAAAGTGATGTACTTGTATAATTAGCTGTTTATATATATATATATATATTTAGGTCTTTTAATTATGACGCGAAATGTTTTTCCGCAATGAGAACGCCGCGTTGAATTATCGATTGACGAGGAATTGATCTCGAATTTATCGGGGGACATATTTTCCTCATTACCCCGTATATTTTCGTAAATGATGTGCATGTATTAACGTTTTACCGACTAGGAACCCATTTACAGCTGTGCTCCAAATTTCGCGAGCAGCGAATAAAGTGTTAATTGGCAAACGTTCGTACGCGAGTGGAGTGTGAGTGTAATCGCTTGGGTTTCTTTACACGCAGCGCGGATTTTAGAAGTGTTTTTACGAAGATACGAACGCTGGCCGTTGTAACGTTACACATAACTGCACTGATGAGTACTGAAATTTAATGTTACTGCAGTATTAACGTGCAAGCAACAGCTTCGCGCGAATGCCGTAGTGCTATCGACAAGTCGACTATTACGCGAGTGCACGAATACCTCTACATTACAAGTTTTTAGTGCGCCGCGGGATACAATCGAAAAAGCCAGCCGTGCACGCACGCTGCTGTTACCTGAAACATATTAAAGCACGTTGTAATTTCGCGCAAACAATAATTCCGAAACAAATCGCCATTCACCGTTTTCGCGAATGGCAAACTGCGTGGTTATTGAATCAATAACACAAATCGAAGGCAATTGAATATTATCCTATCTTGTCCGTGACAATGGAGCGACGGCATTTTTCGGCAACTGCGAATACTAACGAATGTTTCGAATTGTTCGTTAAAAAAGGAGGTTATACGACACGAGATAAATCGCTTGTGATTTAATATGTTTCGTACTTTAATTTCCGCCGTAAAACAAGATGAGATTTATAATAAAACCGATAACAGATGCGCGCGTAGCGTAGCGTATTTTTCGGCGTTACAAGCAAAAATGTAAAAAAAATGTCGCGACGAGCGCGTCCGAGTGGGAATGGGGCAGACGCTACATTTTCTCACAGCTATTGTTGAATAAAAAGTTACCCGACACCACTAAGGTATATTCCTGTCGGACCCGCGTCCCGCGTTCTCCCGACTAACCCGACTAACTGCGCGTTCCGCAGCTCCCCGCGAGAGAAACTTATCGAGTGCCGTTTGCTTGCAGACTCGGTGTACTGGTACACCGTGGCAGAGCGAACAATGGATATGAGAAGAGCGGAGGCTAAGTAGCAGGCTGCAGCTACAGGAACGGAGACGGCGCGAGAGGCGTGCGGCCGACAGAAAGCGAGAGTGGTGTGCGCCAGGAGGACAGGCGGTACGGCGGAGGGCGAACGAAAGGTACGGGAGGGTCGAGCGTTGTGACGAAGTCGCGGGGGACGAAGTGTGGAGCCGCACGAAAAATGAGGGAGCACGGTCTGCTGGTTGTGTGGCGGTCGGTGTGGTTGCTCTGCCTAGTGCTGGCGACCAGCTCGGCGCAAACATCGCAGCTCTGCCCAACCCCCACCGAGATCTCGCCCTGTTTCTGCAGCGTGAAGAAGGCCGGCCTGGATATCGTGTGCGAGACCACTGACATGTCACATATCTCCAAGGCCATGACCGTGCTCAAGGGAAAGTCGAACGCCGTGATATTCTACCTTAGGCTTAGGCACAATAACCTGCCCAAGCTGCAGGGATACGTGTTCCTCGGGCTCAACATACACCACCTCACTATTCACAACAGCAGCCTCGCGGTGCTCGAGGAATCCTCTCTTAGTTCCCTCGGTAAGTGTATGGATAATACTTGGAGGATCGAGATGGGGGATCGAGAGACGCGATGTATGCTGTTTTTCATAGATATATTCTGTTTCTTCGGGAGAAAGAGATGAGAATTTTACTGAACGCGCGGTAACTCGCATCTAATTTGTGCTTCATTGATCAAGCGAATAAAATTCGCAGCTCTGATCCAATTAGCTCATAAGCGCCCACATTGTTGCGCCGAAAGATTGTTGAATGCAAGATTAATGCGTGTAATAATGAGCGACTGTTCGCCCAACGCGAAAGAATCGCGGTTTTCCAAGTAGTCTGACAATGACCGCGGCGCGGCGCGGCGCGCATATTCCGAATGGAGTTACACTCCGGAGTTTACAATAGCAGCGCAAATAGAAAAACGCGGATTCTCCCGGTGATTGAACCCGCGCGCATATCAACGCCGCCCCATTCAAGCCCATAATTTCAAAGCTCGCGTTGCCTCTGCGGCGCGGTAAAAAGAGAAGAAAAAAGAAAACATCTCACGCTGCCACCTCATGCGCGGCGCGGCCGCGTGGTAACATTTTTTACGGCGCAGAACAGCAGCTGTCTTCTGGCGTCAAAAGATTTTCATGGAAGATTTAGGATCAGTTTTTATATTAAAGCCAACATTGAAGCACTCAGTCTGTCACGCGAGGTCCGCGTTAAAGTCGACTGCAAATTTAACCCGGCTTTAAATCTCTTACGAAGCCCCGGAGCTTTAGAGCCGCGACGCCGCCTTTGCGGCCACGCAGATTCGGAATAAATTACTGTAAGGGACTGGAAAATACGTTCTTTTTACACCTGCCGTATTCAAGATACGTGGAGATAAACGCGTCGCGTGGTTGCCCCGCACTGGAGAAAACCTTAATGAGAATGCAGCTCTACGAGCCATCTCGACGAGACATCGCTCGGTCGCATTAACTCGCAGCGTCGAAAGGACATTACACATGGAAAATGTTATTTTCCTACTTGGAGCTTGGAGCTCCCGTCGCGTTTTACGGCGGCTTGGCTGATTGTAAGCAAAGCAGCAAGACGGATTCGAAGCACCGTGCCATTAACTGATGCGGTAAACGTCGTCACGCGATGCGAAACAGCTTTGTTGAATTTCGAAATTACGTTCATTCTCGCTCACTTCAATAAGATACTGCGACTTTCGTTACCGTTGTGTAAGATAATATTCACGTAGCTGCATGCTTCACAGAGATTAATCGACACGGCGCGTCACGATAATCTAAATTCTACCAGGACACAAGAAACGCATACTTAATACGCAAATTTATGCTTAAGAGTAGCGTCAGCTGCCGGAACAGACACGACGACATCACAGGATGTAATTTCGTCAATGTAGGATACATATTCGAAGTTACTCAATGAAATTCGAGAAATCTCCTCGAACAATGTCAGTCGGCTGAACTTACTGAAAGTCATGTATACACGATCGCGGATGTAAGCATAACAACCGCTAGAATTGAATAATTCACTTCCTTGCAGGAACGGAATTGACACAGCTGGATCTCTCCCAAAATTCACTGACTTCCGTCCCATCCTTCGCATTACGAGACCTCCACCATCTTCTGATTTTGAATTTGAATCGTAATAAAATCACAGCCATCCACGGCAAGGCTTTCGAAGGTCTCGACACACTCGAAATTCTCACTCTTTACGAGAACAAGATCACTAACATAGAGGCAGATGCGTTCCAAGGACTCGACAAGTAAGTCGCTCCCACCGGCTAAAGATCAAAGAGAAAATTCGGGACGGAGTTGAAACGTTCGATTTTTGCGCGACCACAAGGACTCGAGGCTCGCAAAGTTTGTTCATTTGCACGGCTAATAGTTCGTTTGATAAATTGCATCTCGTGACCTGGCGGGGTCCGTTAACATTCTTGATTGCCTCAAAGTCTCAACGTGTTGAACTTAAAGCAGACCTCCCGATGTTTTAATCTAATTCTAAGGATGCTCCTCACCATCGCGCTTTTGTTTTCTTTTTAATATTAGCCGGAAACTCAAGAGACTCAATTTAGGCGGAAACGAGCTCACGAGGATTCCAACTCAGGCATTATCTTCGTTAGATTTGCTGAAGAAATTAGAAATGCAAGAGAATCATATATCGAGCATACAAGAAGGAGATTTCGCAGGTGAGGCTCAAAAATCTATCCTGCTACGTGTACTTGAAATACACTTTTTAAAAAAGCTGCGTTAATATCACTTGACTCAAGCATTCAAAATTATTTGGACTTGTTCGATGTTTACCTACCTACCTACCTACCTACAGAATCATTGTGTGATTTCGACCGAATCTACATTCTTTAATCCCATACACATCTACTCGCTCTACATGTAAATAACAAATGCTTTTAACGGACGCGTACGTAACGGACGTTCCGTAGAGTTAGATGGAATGGGCTCATCGATAAAACGTTTCACCCTTTCAGGATTGAAAGCACTCGATTCATTAGGATTGGCGCACAATCACCTCCGTGAGGTCCCAGCGCGTGTATTCTCCCACTTGACGCAATTAAACTCTTTGGAACTCGACGGAAATCAAATTACCCACGTGGATCCCAATGCGTTTATAGGTCTTGAGGGTGAGTGTAATCACAATTAGATACAGCTGTTGAAAACTGTCGACTACGGATACACAAATTACCCTGAAGTTGCACTTGAATTATTTCAATATTACTTTTCTCTCTTTTCCCCTGTTCGGCATCTTCCCGAAAATGGGACACTCGAAGACACGTCCAACGCGATCTCTCACGAGAAATTTCACTGATAATACTTTACATGTATCTTCCAAGTAATAATTCGCGAGCTTCTTCGCAACGTCGGCAAAGTATTCCGGTGCATCAAAGTGTCTCGGGTTTGACGCAGCCGCGGAAATCGTACGGCCTTGTGTTCAATTTACCATGAAATTCTTGCGGTTTTTGCAGATCACGTTCTGCTTTATTTATCGTTGCGAGCACCGCAGCTACTTAGCATTTAAATTTACCGCGTGCCACGACTGCCTGCCGGTGATGCAATCGGCTCCTTTGGGTACGGGTACAAACGAACGAACGACACTTTACTACCCTCTGTGTTCCGTTGCGTCCGTTGCGAACATGAATACAATTATCTAGACGGTATTTTGACAAAGCATTGTTTTTCGGGTGAACAAACGGCTTCGGTGCTGTCGACGATTTGATAAAAGGTCGTTAATTTCAATAAAATAAGGCCATGGGAACGCTATTGTAAACACAAACGTTAATTAAACATCCATATTTTTTTTATTTTAATAAAACAACAATAAAATGTTTTATCTTTCAAAAATAACGTCCCTTTTATATTTTTCCCGCGAATTATTGGCTCGAAATTAATTATACATTTGATTGTAAATAATAAGAAACCGTCATTACTCCGGAAAGTTCTTTATATATTGTCACGATAATTAAATAAATCTTCCATCGGCCCTCGAAGCTTCCCAGTTTACACGTAAATATTATCTCGCGGTGCTTAAAGATTCCACTTGAAGCTTTCGAATCGAGCACTCGACCGACCCACGCTTGTGTAAATTTTGTCCCGATTGGTTCCCGCTCTTGCGAGCAACTTGATTCGATCACGGCTGCCTACAATCGTCCTGGAGAAGCTCATCTGAGTGTGTCGCAACTTATGAGCGTTATTATCAATGTTCTTCACGTAACGAAGCTGTCTGCTGTGATCTAGATTGTCGTCACTCTTTTTGATATGCGTATTCCTTGCACGAATGTTCATCAATTACGTTATTCGTGCCGTCAAGCGACGGAATCGATCAACTTATATCACGAGGAACTAATAACCAAGAGATTTTAACGAGGGAATTCTAATAGCGTCGCGTGCGATTCGCCTTATGCGCCCGAATTATCTGCATTATTTCCAGCGAGTTCCTCCTCGTAATTGTCCCGCTCGCTCGTTTCAGATAATCTGCAGTATTTGCGACTGGGAGATAATAATTTGCATTCGGTACCGAGCGACGCTCTGCGACGCTTGCATCGCTTACGACACCTGGACTTGCGATCGAACAACATCACTATACTTCCGGAGGACGCTTTCACGGGCTACGGAGATTCCATCACATTCCTCAATCTACAGAAAAATCTGTAATACATCTTTCTTCGTGAACGCCGCGCGACTTTCGTCCGTAGAGAAATCGTTGAAACAAATCGATCGGTCTTGCGCACCTATGGGGGCGCACCTCCTAGCATTCGGCAGCAACGATCGATGAATCGCGCATTAATGTAAACATAATTACTCTACTTTTTCAGGATTAAAGTGCTCCCACCCCTGGTATTCGAGAACCTCAATTCGCTAGAAACCTTGAGTTTGCAAAACAATAAACTCACACACATCTCGGAAGAAGTCACAGAGAACATCGTCGACACTCTACGCCATATCGATATAACGGGTAACGTATCTCCTCCCTGCCTCCTAACGCCAACACTAACGTAACTTTCTCCGCATACACAACGCGCGATATATAATCCCCTTAATTTTCTCTATCCGGATCGCACCGTTAGATTCCCGCTGCCGAAGCTCACGCCGAACAAAATATATCGCAGAGAAGTCGCTGATACGTATATATTTCCTTCAGCGCGTAAAAGTCCTTCCTGTTAAATAGCGGAACTAATGACCGAATGAAATAATCGTTGCCTAATGAAAGCGTTCGTTAACTGGCCGCTGAGCGCGCCGACGTTCCAACGAGAGCGGACCTACGCGAATTTCCGTTTGGCCGCGTTTGGCGTTCATTTGATTTCCTTATCGTTCCGTTTCCCTATGCGCGCAGATAACCCTCTGATTTGCAACTGCGAGCTACGGTGGTACTCCGTGTGGCTCGGGAATCTGCGCGACAAGGACGACGAAATGATGTCGAAGAAGCGGACGGTCTGCATGATGGCCACGGAACACCGCGAGTACTCCGTGCAGAATATCCCGCTCGAGAGGATGGGCTGTGTGGGCAAGAATGCTGGGAGGATCTCGTCGGCGTCTGTCGCGTGTAAGGTGTACGTTGACGCGACGCTACCGCTGATAGTCATCGCTGCCGTTTTAGCGTAATCCCGCGGGAGGAGCGCGACGTTCGCGATTGGAGGAGTGCGCCATCGACTTTTCGTTTCAACGCGGAGACGAGACGCTTAAGGATGCGCGCGCTCAGCGTCAACGTTTTCACAGAGCGCCACGACAGGCCACGCGGCCAATCTTTGACGAATCTCGCCGCTCGTCACTTTGACAAAGAGAGTTCGCGATTGTCCGAGAAGAAGCAAATTGCCTCGCTATGTTTCTTTCGCTATTTATTTCCCGAGGTAATCGTGACGCGATAGCGGAGACGCGTCACGATTCCACGTACGACAGACCGCGCTCGTCCACGTGGAAGCAGACTTCCTTCTGCGGAGATCGACGCGGCTCTGTCACGCGTATCATCTCTTGCGCGGCGCAACTCGGCAACGTGGCCTGTCGTCAAAACACAGACAGAGGACAGAGGAGAGCTACGACACGAAAAGTCGGTGCGTTATCGTGATGTCAGTTCGTCACGATTGATCGAATGCCTTGAGGCTCGTAGGAGATCTTGGCGTTCGACGCCAATTGATATGAAAAAGCCCTCGAGCATCGTTGCGCGAAACGTCATCATTGAACGAATTGTTATTGTTCGGCGCGACGGCGAGGAATGACTGATTGATTCCTCCGCCGTTCGAGAGAGGTTGCTTTTTTTGATTTTTCTTCTTTTGCCGGGAGACGTACAGGAACTGATTTCCGTCTCGTGCGCGTAGAGGTACGTTTCAGCGTACAGTAGACGGTTGCTTTCTCTCTCGTGCAGACGTGCGCCGCGCGTGTTCATGCGATGCGACCGCGCATGGACAATCAGACGTGACGCGTGGTAATCGCGACAATCGACTTTTTGACAACCGAGTGCTTTAAATCCTTCCGCGGAAGCTTCCGCGGTATTTACTTTATTTACTTTACGCAGTTCGATCATCGGAAGATCACTCGATTCGATTAATCTTCAGCAGCACCCGCGCGCACCCGATCGCGTATTTTATTGGCCTTTTATTGGCCGGACAGTTCACCGTGATATTTGGATTTTAATCGAATCGACAACAATCCCGAATCTCTCTGAGACGACGCGCTCTCTGTCTTGCGAAATCACACTCGACACTCAGCGACGCGAATTCACTTACTTTCCGCGGCGAAATGCGCTTAAAAAGGTTCAACGTCCGCACAGCTAGATAGATACACATAGGTTTATTCGCCGCATTTTCGATCGAGCCCGTGGAACATGCGAGTCGCGCGAGTATAATGAGTCATGTCAGTGAACAAAGTTAATCACCGTGGTAAGTCGCCTCGCGACAAAGCGTACCATAAGCGATCCTTTCTATTGTGCCGCGTGTCGAAATGATAATCACAGACGTAGAGCACGGCCGGCCGCTAAGCGCAATGACGAGCGACGAGTGTAGGTGGCGCGCGCACACACACATACACACACACACACACACACACACACACACACACACACACACACACACACACACACACACACACACACACACACGCTTGCTGCGACGGCGGATTTACTGCTGATGAAATCACTGTTATTAATGGGACTCTCAGATGCTCTACGATCGAATCGGAGACGATGATAATCGCGACCGACCATACGGTGAACTGTTTTTCATCGGAGCCACTTCCATCTAACCGAGAACAGCAATAGAGCAAACATATCCCCAATCGTACGTATGCAATCGTTATTCAGCAATAAAATGTCGCTCACTCGCGCAGTTCGATAGTATAGAGTCTGAGAGAATCCACCAGGATCGAGCGTCGATCGCACGATCGACCGGTGGACCGAAGAGTGCTCGTTCGCGCGAAAAGCGCGCGAGTTTTCTTCACCGGAACGTTACATATCAACATCGTTGCCAATTATTTCGTGGTTATCTGTTAAGCTCTCGGCGCAAGACGTAGTATACTCATTAGCGGATTTGAGCGACCGGAAGTCAGCCGCCACTGGGCGATTTCGGCTCGCTCGTCATATACATATCAATACGTTCCTGTTGAACACGGATGCTGCAGATCGTCGGCAGATATTCCGAGATGCTCGCGCCTCCTCTCCCGCCCCGCTCTCGCACGTCGCGATCTTCTGAGATTTTTCAATCTCGTTGTATATTATCCTGCGCACTTGTCGCAAAATCGGCAATTTTATCGACCGTGGAGACCGGCATTATGTGACTTTCTCTGTTGAATTATTAAATATGTAATATCTGCAAAAAATTTCTCTGGAGAAACCTACGAGAGACAGTTAAGTCAGGAACCACATGTACAGGAAGAACATGAAAAGTGAATGACACGTTCGTTGGTGACACTCGTGAGAGAAGCCTCTCGTGGGCTTTTCTGCCGGACTGTCTCTGCGCAGTACTCGCTAACATCTTGAGATCGCCACAATACTTAACTAGATTTGCAAAGGCGCGATCGCACGAAATGAGATAACGACTGCTGATGACACGTAATATACTCTCGACAGGAAACCGACACTTGTTAAAGCCGGTAGGAGCACAAACGCGGCTGTTCGGACGTCTCGTTGCAGCCGCTCTACGAGCTTTACTCGCGGGCTACTTCGTCGCCGACGTTCACGTGCGTGAACTCAAATTACATCGTCGTCTCACGAGAGGAAGCGTATGCAACGCACGTGTCCGTCACAATCGCGATGCACGAGACGCGAGCGGTCCGGGGATGCATAATTTCTCCCGCGCTCATGATATATGGTATATATATATATATATATATATATTATTTCCTCCGTTCTCAACACACGATGAATAATGATTCGCGTTCACACATCCGGAAGATCGCGACGTGCGAAAATAAAATAGGTTGCGCGCGCTTCGCTTCGATGCACTGTCAGCGAACGCGTCAGCGACGATGCATCGGGCGAAGAGACGCGCTTCTCAGCGGAGGTTGAGAGCCTGCAGCGCGAGAGATCGATCGTAGAAGAGGCGTTCACGGGACGTAGTGCTGATCACAGTGCTAACGTGGAAAGTAACATGTGTTTTGCTATTCGATACGTATAATAAGGATAATGTAGAATTAAGCCTAAGGCATTATCGTAAGACATGCCGCGTGGTGGCATATCAACCGGTACGCGTTGTATGGCGCGCCGAGCTTGACTCTTCGGAAGAGGATCTCGAAGCTATCGATTTCGTCGAGGATGTTTTAGTCCTTTCGTTGTCGCGCTTGGTTTCGTCTTAATTTGTAACTCGGTACCCTGTTTCGTCGACGACCCATCACGGAGAATTTGTGAACGAGTGAAAATAAGTTCTGTGTAGCGTTAAACGGTAGGACGCTTGGGAGAAGAAATTATATTCAATGCAAAGTAACCCCTCTGTTGTTTTAGCGGCATATTTCGTAGATTGTAAATTGCGCATATTGAAAGAAAAAATCATCAGGAGATATCATAGAATCGATAGAGTAGGTTGTTTGATTCGCGAGCGGAGACATTCTCCTTCAAATGTGCGAGCAACGGTGCGCGGCGGTATCACGTACACACATACACATATCATTTATACGCCCAAATCTACTTGTAAGATAAACTGATTAATTAAGTCCAATTAAGGCTTGACGAAGCTATAACGACTAAAGATCGTATACATATCGTGAACGTATGAGATTTAAGAGAATTTATTTGTTAACATATACATACATATATATATATATATATATATACATATATGTACGTTGCATAATATAATATATATATATATATATTATTATGCATTATTACGATCATAAAAGATATATATTATATACCTATATCTTATATACATATATATATATATATACATATACGCATTGAATGTTTTTTTCTAAGAAGTTACGTCGTTAACAATACTAAACTGCCGAGCATATACCGCCGTTCTTTAGATTGCTTTCTGATTGATTTCTCCTAGATCTAGAATATGCGGCTTTCATGTCTTGATTGTACTTTGATACGTATGGTTTATCGTTGATTGTAACAGAACAATTTAGTAATTTCAGTAAGCGCGTATCGATAAGTTGAGAGGAAATCAAAGATACGCCGAATGCGATCCTCTGCAGGCCCTACATTTAGCTTAGGATTCGTACGAGGCATATCTCTGTATATTCAATTTCAATTAAATCTTATTGTCCTTTCTTGTGCTTGAGTGCAAAAAAATAATTCACAAGCGTATGCTCACTTCAAGTACAACGTACGATTGTGATTATTCCGTTGAATGGGGGAACGGAAGTGTGTGAACGGCAGTAAGTTGCAAGAAAAGAAGTTAATAGACTTGAAAGTAAAACTAGCGAACTAGCATAATCACCTGAGTCAGAAGTTCGGCATATGTCTTTGCTACCGTGGCGAAGCAGCGTAAGAACGCATCCGAAATGTTATGCAAATAATATCGCGAAGGAAACTCCTAGCCAAGACCAGCTTCCCCTAAGTTCCAGCGTTGTTCCAGCGAATTATTTCTCGGCATTGTTCCCGACGACGCGGGCATTCGCGTCGATCCAACAGCTCGCATGCGCGCGGGGAACTTTATTCGCCAAAGAACTTTTGGCTCGGGCGTTAGAACGTATCTTTAGGCGGTTTTTAGAACGACAAGAGCAGAGGAACGGGAACGCACAGTTTGCGCGATTCTAATCCTTTCGTTGCGGAGCATCGCAGCGGCGCCGGCGCGCTGATAAGATGCCGCGCGTCTCTCTCGATTACCCGAAGCATCTGATCGTACAACGGACGCGCACAGAACCTGACGCCGAATCCGTTGGAGAATTCAAACTCGCGACTCGTCGAATCACGTACGTAAAGGATCGATACACGAGCGACCTCCGTCGCGAGGGCGAACACGGCGCCGAACGATGGCAGCTCCATCGAGCGCCGATCAGCTAAACACAGCCGCGTTGCAGCGAAAGGGTTGGGGATCGGCGAACGTCGGGCCCACAGAACCATATCAAGACATATCGCTGAAAGCCGGCGTTAAGCTCGTCGGGCGCGCTATTTATTATTACTAATTATTATAAGCGGATATTTTTGTACAGCGTCTTACAATGTGGTCGGATCGTTGCCGGCGCACCCGACGGGCGTACCCGGCGTCGTAATTACTTCGTATAATAGCGCGCGATACCCTGAACGCGAACGCGTACGCATCCCTGATACACTCGTGCGTGTCCAGCGGGACACGTGAGCGAACGATGGTCCCAGATCGCAGACCGCGCAGATGGCAGCCGCGCGTCTGAGGGACGACAAACGGAGCTTAACTCCCGATCGAAGGATGTAACTTTATAATCTCGGTGCTCGCCCATATGTCGCTTCTTCGCACGACTCGAGGAACCTCGTAATTCTGTGTTAACACGCACCCACGCACACGCGTACGAACACATGAGCACGCATTACATACGCCTACACACAGCAAGAGCCGAACACGAGACGTTGATCTAGTATGAAATGTTCTATCCCCTTTCTTCATTGTCTTCTCTTTATGTAACGAAGAATCGTGACTATTATGTATATTATATAAAAAGACTAAAGTTCGTGTAAAATTAGGAGATGAAAATTAGTTATTGATTCAATATATACATACAGACACACACACACACACCCACTAAATACTTTTAAACGCGAGATATGTTATACACGAACAAATACACGCACACGCGAGACTAAATCACGCCTAATGTTACATCGATGTTATAAATATAAATATAAATATATATATATAAATATATATATATGGTTATTACGCGACACACCTACACAAACTTCGTCTGTATATGTCTATACATAATGTTACATGTATATGATCATATTATGATAATTATTACGTGATATGTACGTATTATGAAACATTTTTCTCGTATCGGCCCGCAACTCGGTCGTTTACTCAGATTCTAATGTCTATATGTCATTGTTTATTATGTCGTTAATAATTAACGTGTATATGTGAAACTTTCAAATGAATAAAATTCACATAAGCAAAAGCATCCTCCATTTGTTATTTCATGTCTCTTATTTCTTCAAATTAATGCGCAGAATTTCGAACGAATCAACAAATGTTTCAATAAATATTTCAATACATATATATATATATATCAATATATACATCAATATATATATATATATATGTATATGTATATATATATCTTTCGCTGCTATTTTCAATAAGCCACCTTGTAATTTCAACAAGATAAGATATCCAAGTTAGCGGTCTATCGGCACATTGCTATCGAATTAGAAAAGATGCGTGGGTGGGATAATATATCGAAATTCTTCCATGGCAATCAATACGAGATATGTGCATCGATAAGCGAACACGATAACGTTAATCAATGTCGACTGCAGCCAGACCACGATTCTAGATTCAGCGAAATGTTCCACGTTCTGTCAATCGCACTGTATCGCGTAGTAAGTCTGGCACGCGACCAACAATATCAGAGATGATTTGGATGTTGGTAAAGAGATTTATGTGCTGTTGGAAGTACTTGCGGTTTTCGATATATTCTGCTGTTCCAAATTTCAGTACCTTGGTCAAAGGCGTGTGTGAGTCAAACTAATAAAAATTACCAAATTAAAAGACACGGGCAAATCTATATACTAATAAAGTATCCGATTAAATCTGGTGTTTCTTTTTTACTTCGTGAACATTGGCGTTGTTGGACTTCATTAACGATAAGTGCACTCCATATGTTTTTTAGAGTATATTTAAAATAAAATTTTTTCTATATCCACCGCATAAGTGTATATATTTAATTTGGACCGTCTCGTGCTCAAAATTATATAAATCAAAGATTTATTTCTTTTAAGTAATTTCCTTTGTGTGTATGCGCGACATCAGATTTGTCTAGTTTTTCTCTCTTATCAGATAAACATCGGGAAACATTCGATTCATGGGGTTTAAAATTGACATTTATTTGTTCTATTTCCAATACTTACACATTGTTCCAAAGTGGATATAATTGAACGCAGTCCCTGTGCATGTCGGGTGCTTATAGCGGTCTTATTGCTATTCGCTGCAAGCAGCTACTTCGCTGCTAAAAACAACGAGGAAGAAACGACAGAGGGATCGATTGGCAATACCACGAGTATTTTGAGCAACACTCGACAAGGAGAAGAAGAAACGTTATTAACGAATCTACCGACATATAACAATGGTGAGGAGTACTGTCGCATTGAGGGAACATGCGATAGCGTAAGCTGTTCTTCTATACCAGGATACGATCCAGGAAAAGTGATTAGTGCTTTTGTCGAAAATCATTTCAAGGTACCATTATAATTATAATTTCATACTGTGTGCAAAAAAGTATCGACAGTGCAATATAATATAATCCTTTCACTACTGTGGCAACATATGTTCCCGAAAAATATAGAATTTATTGTTAATTTTATATTAATTAAGATTAAAAGATATTCAAAAAATTATTCGGTAAGTTATAATTTCCATAAATAAATAAATATACAAATACGTAACTTTTTAAGAAAAATTATTACTGAAAGCTGACTTTTACTGCCCACTTAAAAAATATTCAGAAGTGAAAGGGTTAAGTAGGAACATATAAAATCAAACTTTTAATTTTAGCATTAATTGTTTGGTAGACTAGTTGCGGCTTGAGAATCATCAAAAACTTGAAACTCAAAAATTCGAGATTTTCTGATAACAAGCTTCAGGATAAGTGGTTAAATATGGACGTAGAGGTCGCGAGATTGGAACTTATTAATTGCTTTCTGACCATGTTAAGCGATGAAGCATTTTCCTCACCGATATTTGAACGAATGATAAAACTTCAACTACACGATAATAACATATCTACTTTAAGGAGGGCTACATTCCGTCCACTTAAAAGACTGGAATATCTCTCCATCAACAACAACGAGATAAAAGAGGCTGAGCAATTTTTACTCCAAGACACCGCGGTAAATTTGGAAAATCTCGAATTCGAACAAGCTATCAGCGATGCGGAAGTTCTCCGGAATATCACGGGAGGGAGCACTAGATATTATAATGTAAAAGAATTAGCATTACGATACAATCATATCACAATTATTGACTCGCGACTCTTCGCTGGCATTATCAGGCTAGAAAATCTTTATTTACAATATTCGAATATAGAGACTGTCGATGCGAATACATTCGAATGGATGGACTCTATAAGACAGATATTTATAAATGACAACAACATTTCTACCCTGCCCAAAGGCTTGTTCGACTCAGTAATTTCGCATAAAAATAGTTTAATCCTGTCAATTCACAATAACCCGTGGAACTGTGATTGCAATCTCAAGTGGATGCAAGACATGATAATACGTCATCCAGGGGTAGTGCAAAATATCCCGATCTGCAGTTCGCCCGAAGCAAACCGCGGAAAAACCTTCACGGATGCGGATTTTTGCAATCAACGGACGACAAAAGAGACGAGTGTCGACGACACGACGCATAGCAGCGTAACATCAACGACAACACCTGGACCCACTATGAGTGTCAACTGCGAAACTATTTTCAATCATCTGTATTCTGCAAATTATTCGCCTCGGATGTTTTCGTCCAACAATATCGAAATATCATTACGACTCCACAATTTCTCCGTGACGGAGCTCGTGAACGGGTCCACTTTGCTTAACGTCTCGGATTCAAACGATATATTTTTTATATGGTTCGACAACAAGGTGCGATTGAACACCTCCAGCTTAAACAACTCGGTACAGTGCGCACGAGTCAATGGTCACTACATCCTGCCGATTGAGCCGCGAAAGAGCTACACGATATGTTCGTTGGACAACTTGAGTTTCTCGCCGCTCAACTGTTTGGGTATGAGCATATCAATTAGGTCTGAGGACGGCTTATCCGCTGATGATAATATTGACATGGACGTGATTATTAGTGTATTTGTGATATCGCTGTTAACAGTGTGTTTTCTGAGTGCAATACTAATGTTCATTATAGTGCGACGATACCCAGTGATGCTGCGAGGAAGCAAACGAATCGTGATAGTAAAGCGCGGAACTCCGAACGTTATGGTACTTCCGAGGGGGCTTTCAAGCGACACTGTCGAATCCGCGAATAGGAACACGATACCCACGATCTCGCAGAACTTGAAAGAGAGCGGATACACCGTACTCCTGCCACCGACACGAGACTTGCCTCGCAAGAATTCAAGGAGTTCGGCGTCGAGTGATGACATGAGTTACATTTCCGGCATCGAGCCGACTTTGTCGCAGCTCAACTCGTGGCGACTTAAAAAATTCAGATATGTAAATCGAGAAACCGAACCGCCCCCGTTACCGCCGCACCCGCATCCTAATACCGCACAACCGTTATCGATAGTAGAGGATAAGGATGAGGATGAATCCGATTCGTGCACGGTGTAACGAGAGGATGTGTGGACCCTTCTTTTTATTTAGTACAGATTCGTCTCAAATTTTGTCTCGGAAAATTTAATTCGACGTAGTTGTAAGAAAATATATCGAAAAACGAATCAAGTTGTAAAAAAATAAAAATTATAAAGTTATGGATCTGCCCATAGATTTACACTTTACTATGCTTAAATATCTTCTTTTGTTATGGTTTAAAATAATTAATAGGTAAGAATAAATATATATAGTGTCACACGGAATAAACAATTCGGTTACTCGAATTAAATATAAGACTAAAAAGCTATAATATAAGGTAAAAAATATAAAATTAAAAAGTTGCAGAAATGTGAATACTTTTCTCCAATATCGCAGATAGTTACTGAGAGAAGTATTCAATACTCTAGATATTTAAATGATGTAGACCTTTATTCAAGACGCTCCTCTAATTGCTTGGAGCTCTGTATATTTCCATTTCAAACGTGCTCCGCATGACGTTAGATAATGGATGTGTCAGAAATCTCGTTTCGCTTTGGACTTGGTTAAATCTGGCTAACAGCCCAAAGTCACATAAGTCAATGTCAGGTTCCGGGAACAAGTACAGTGGATTACGGTAATGGGGGGTATTATGTGCTATTCAAAAGAACGCCGAGAGAAAAAGAGAATATTACTGATATAAAGCGATAATAAAAACACATTCAAGATATTACTTTATATAAATCTCAATATTGTAAGAGCCGCGCAATTCGCACAAAAGCACAAACAAGGTTTCGTTTGGATATAGTTTCGCTTTTATATATAATTATCGGGAAAATTTATAGTGTTCAACACTTGGAAGAAGTTTACTCAAAAAATTCAATCATGATATAATCACAATTCAATCACTAAAATAATGTAATCGCCATTTTGCCTCTGGTAATATCGCATAATTATGATATAACGACATTTGAGAATCACACTCTCTCCATGTAAATAGATTAAACGGAACAAATGGGGACGGAAGAAAACTGAGAGGGAATTTTTTGAAAAGTTTTCGGGGAAGACATAAAGATATAAACAGACACACGATAAAATCGAAGCGATCGACAGGAAATCGCGATTTCAACCATCCTAAACTTAGTAATCTGCAACGAGTCGGTTATTATGGTAATGAAGCGATTCCCTCTACCCAAGATTATTTTTAGCTGTTAGGTCAGTAGTTCGATTTAACGTCGAAGCTTTATCTGATTGGCCAGTGAGGATTAACATACATATATCGAGGTTAAAGATAGTTGCCAGACGATTTTTTTTGCGCAGCGGCCGCTCGGCAATCCACTGCAATCCTCTAAAAGGATGCAATGCCAATACTAAACCGCTATATCTAACCTGCGCTAGATGTGCAGCTATGTATAACTGCTTTCATGTTCGTGAATAGTTTCGCTATAAGCGAACGAAACCGATGCGACGATACACATCATATAAAAATAATAGAAAGTATGTGTTACAGAGTTGTATTACTTTTGTATGCAAGTAAAACAACAAATTAGCTATGTGTATCAACCATTACGGAAATATTAATCCGGTGTCATTTAAAAACCTAAGAATTAAACTACAGAACTATATAGAGATCGACGACTGTACGATCATTCGATATTATAACGCTCCTAATTAAGAAATGCGCGATTACGAGCTTTTCATACAAATGACAACGGTATTTACGTATTCACAACAACCAACAATGTTGCACAATATTAAATTTTCGAAACATTCGTTATTTTAATTAAAAACCCGCGTATTCACACTCAACTGCGTCGGCGTGTTAATTCTTTCGCAAATAAACAGCCGTGAAAGAGCGTCCTAAATAAAAATCTTTTTATAGCAACTTTGATTCGACACATGATTATGTGTGTGTGTGTGTGTGTGTGTGTATGTGGTGGTGGTGATCTATTGACACCGAACGTAGGTGTGTTGCTGTGGTATCGCGCTGCTAATTAGTTCACTAAAGCTCAGTACGGTTTTTTCATCGGTGCACTGAGTTGGTTATACGAAAGGGATCTGTTAATCGTCCGTTGTACTTTGTGATTGACTTGTTTGTATTAGGAAAGCGAGAAAATTTAACAATATGGTAATTATCGCGTAAATGTACGTCGTAGCGAATATTTCGAGATCATGTGAATTAATCGCGAAATAATAAGCACGAAAGTTTCCCACAGTGATTTGTGTGTGTTTTTTAAAATATACTATTGATAATCAGAATATAAATTAAATAAAAAATAAGTATTAATTTTTCATTCAAATGAAGCGTTACGTTCGCGGGATGTTGAGAAATAAGAGATGTATTAATGATGTATCAATGATTAATGGTGTTTGTTCGATTGCAGGAGGAAATTCAGCTTAGCAGAGATCAGATATCCCGTAAATAAATTTTTTGTGTTAAATTAATATAAATTTTCATGTCCTCGTCCTTCGAATAAATATCGAATAATATACGACTTTTCTTTTAAATCAATTATTAGTTTATTGAGTCGTATTTAGGAACGCAGTACGTAGAACTTAAGAATTAATTTTCATAAATAGATTTGCAAATGGCATTCGATGCTTTCGATCACGACAAGAAGGGATGTATCAGTACAGATATGGTCGGTACAATTTTGGGTATGCTTGGTCATGAAGTTTCACCGACCGAACTTGCAGACATTATTTCAGAGATCGACACATGGGGTAAATATAAGATATTATTAATGCACACATATACAAGGAAACGAACCGAGAAGAAAACTACGATTACATTCGTCAGCTACATTCCGATCTTTATTATTTAGTTATTGTACTGAAAACAATGTCTGATAATATATTTGTTGCGGAAATGAAATTAAAATCCTCGAGTTCATGTTTTACTCAAAGTATGATCTGAAAATGTAGCATAGTTCTTTATTGCAAACAGATTTTACCAATTTTGCCAAAGAAATCCGAAGATACGTAGCCGGAAGAGTTTCATCGAAAATTTACAATCGCTTTTAGGTACCGGCGAATTAAAGTTCGAGGAGTTCTGTAAGTTAGCGTCGCGTTTTCTCGAGGAAGACACCGATACCGAGGCGGTGCAACAAGAGCTACGAGAGGCATTCCGATTGTACGATAAGGAAGGTAATGGCTACATTACTACCGATGTGTTCAGAGACATTCTTCACGAGTTGGACGACGCGCTATCTCCAGAGGAGCTTGATATGATTATAGAGGAAGTGGATACTGACGGATCTGGCACGCTCGATTTCGAAGGTGAGAGATCGTGTGTAGCGCACAGGTGCTAATCCACTTCGTCTTAGTTTATGCATACCTGACGAACGCGGCGTTTACATTTCAGAATTCATGGAGGTCATGACAGGATAAATTACGACTTTGGCACGAGGTGGATGTCTCGTCTATCGCCCACGTTGTGTCGAACACAACGAGTGTGCCTATGCAAACAAACCGAAATCTCTTGCTCGAGGTTATATGCGACGCTGACGGAGTCATATACAATTCGTTTGTACAAAAAGAGAAAAGAAATAGTTGTAAAATGTAAATTTTATGGCGAAATGCGGAAATAGGGATCGAAAGTTTTCGGTTGGTAATTTAAATGTAAATTTAAATTTAATTTAAAAAGTGGATTCGAGAATTTTTTAGCAAGACAATATATATACGGAGTGTATTCGCGAGTATTTTTGTTGAATATAATATATATAAATTAAAAAAGAGGAACTTTGGAATCTTTGAGATAATGTTTGCAATATAATAGCGACAGTTATTGGTATATCGCGGAATTTATAGATCCATTAGCTTGCCAAGATTGCACAGTGTCCTTTGTGTCAGAATTTTGGCATCATATTGTCAAGTGCAAAATGTAATTCATCAAACGTCGAAATATTTTATAATATACTTTGCCTATGTGACGTATAACTACATACGCGATGTACAAACCTAAGAAACTACAAAACGAAATGTGATAAAATTTAATAGAACGATTATATAAAAAAATATATAAAATAATAAAAACTCAAAATAATCAAATATAAAATCATCATATAAAGAAGTGAATTCAGATGAGTAGTGATAATATTCAGTAAAAAATGAACCCTTGTGTTATTTCCTATTTGATTTGAATCGTAATTGTTCCTGTGAACAATAAACTTCAATAAAAAATAATATTAAAACTGAAGTCTATCGGAAATATTTGTACATTAATAAAATATTTTATGATCCATAAAACTTCCTTGGTGTGCCGAATTGTTTGTAAAAATCAGGAATATTTTCATGTGAAAGCATAATCATCCTTTTTACGAACTTTGTCTTTATATTTATAAAAATATAAAATCGCGGTGCTTGTACAACCCTTTGTAATTCCTTACTGTATCGCAGAGAGAGCCTATAATTAATTATAGTCTATAGCTGTCATCGGTGCAAGTCAGACCTGAAAATACAACGCGCGCGTGTTGGCAATGGCAGTACACGTGCTTCGCACGCACCAGACGCAACGTTATACGCCCGATTCTGTAATAGCAGCCATAATCTATTGTGAACTTTCGTCGGAATGAAGCAGCACGTGCCTCGAGGGAACTCGAGGGGACAATGCGCGTGTCAGCAAACGGTAGTATTCCGGAATGGACGATAAAATCGCCTAAATATAATAACAGCCACCGGGCTTTATGAGCTTATAATTAGGAGTCTAAGAATAAAGACGCGCACGGTTGCTGCATAGAACCGTCTTCGGTTAGTCTTAGCCATGCCGTCTCCGGCCATGAGCCAACTTTGTCCGTCTATTGTTGCATCCACGCAACTCGCGCCACTTATCGTGTCGCTCATAAATTTCAAGACGTTCCGAAAGATTGCAAAATTTCACAATAAACCGCCTGTGAGGTCTCGATTATTACGACGGCGCGGGCACATCAGACGTAATAATATAAGGCGTTTCATCAACGGCCTCTTGCCGAAAGACGCGAGACTATGTCATCGTATAATTGACGTTTTTCGAAATTAAAGATGAAATAAGCTTTAAGCGAATCGATGCAGCTGCATCATCAGAATGTTAAACGACTCGTATCACGGTTAATTATCGCGACTAAGATTGATTGTGCGTAACGCGCTCTCATTAAATTCCGCAAATGCGGGAACGCCGAGAGTTTTCGGACGCTTATCGACAAATCGAACGCGCGACTATTAAAGGCATGGGTGATTTTCGAAATTAGGTACGCTAGATTCGTACGTACAATTGAAGCGCGTTCATGGAACCGGGGTGGGGCGAGCGTCCTCGATGAATTTGAAAACCACTAGACTCGGGATGTAGGTATTACCTGGTCAATCACGTGCCAGGAGATCATCGTTATGACCACTTAAAACAGAAGTCCACGGCCAGAATCTGGTGCATACCCGGATAAACCGTCGACGCTAACGTACCGTGGGAAGCGCGTACAGTTAACATCGCAACATGGCAAGTCTTATAACTTTTTACAAACGCAAGAATAAAATTTTCCAAATGATGACATTCTTGTATGCAAGTTACAGTAAAAAGACGCACGATTCAAGTTCATTTAATCAAATAATGTGATCAAAATAAAAAATATTAGTAATTTTTTATGTTTCTTATGTTACTGTATATATTTCTTGTACAGAAATTTATCTCAATTTCCTTCATTATTTGAAAATGTAATCTTTATAGCAAAAGTGAGTCGATATTGATATTTTAGATAATTATCGTCAAGTAATCATTCGTATTTCTCTCACGATTGCAGGATGACCTAACCAAGGACCAAATAGCCCGTAAGTATATTTTTGAAAGGTACACGATATATTTTTATTAGTATTATCTTAAAAAAAAGAGATACGATATATCTTTAAAATCCTTAAAAGATAATTTGAAAAAGTATATCAAGGTAAAAATATCCGAAATATCAAACTACCGTTCCTCTGAATAGTTCTAAAGAAAGCTTTCGATGCTTTCGATCACGAGAAAAAGGGCTGCATCGGTACTGATATGGTGGGCACGATATTGACCATGTTGGGTTACGAACTCAGTGAAAATACGTTGCACGAAATCATCAAGGAAGTAGATGAAGATGGTGAGTGAAAAGCTACCGACCTCGCGACGACGTTCTCTCAACACTTTAAGCGAGAGACTTATCGAATGTTTGTTCAACTATGCTTTATTTGCTATTGCATACTTGACATTTTTACGCGCATATCTTTACCGTCGACAGGCTCTGGAGAACTCGAGTTCGAAGAGTTTTGCACCTTGGCCGCTAGATTCTTAGTGGAAGAGGACACGGAAGCAATGCAGCAGGAATTACGCGAGGCATTCCGATTGTATGACAAAGAGGGCAACGGCTATATAACCACCGACGTGTTTCGCGACATTCTTCACGAACTCGATGACAAACTTTCGCCGGAGGAGCTTGACCTAATGATCGAGGAAATCGACGCCGATGGTTCAGGGACCCTCGACTTTGACGGTACTTCTTTTCATTAAGTCTCCTACATTTTCAACACCGCACTATCTATCCAATCCTGGCATGCGAAAATCTGCATGCCAGTCACACGTAATAACCGATAAACTAATACACTAATATTTAAACTAACGCTTGAAAATTTGTCTTTCAAACCTGATCTTTTGAAAATTAAGTACAATAATTTATCATAGATTAATCATATGTAGAACGTATGTCTTGTCCTGTCTTACTATAATAGAGAGTGCAGTGAAAGTATTTTGTATCCACCAACAGTGTTGATCTAAAATCATGTTTACACTACATAACAACTTGTGTCCAAGAAACATTTCAAATTTGACGGCCACTAATTGCAAGGGACACAGCACGTGCGGGAAATCTGCGTGACACTCAAGATAATATATTCGAGAAATCTCGCCGAGAATTTACCTAACAAGTGCAATTTGCAACGTCAGATAACACACACGATACTTCTCGGAGAAACCAAGTAGTTCATTTAAAATCCGTTCGAGTTACGAAGCCTCGAGCCAAGGAAATTTGTTTCACGCACGTCAATGTCGGCGTTGTGCTCTCAACGTAGCCTAGCACTAATAGCAAAGTCGATCGAACATTCAATAAGTCTCTCGCCTAAGGTGGTTCGCCAAGTTCGCAGCCGCGCGCGAAACATGAGGCGCCGCCTGATTATACCAACGCTCACCGCGTTTTGCGCGCTTTCAGAGTTTATGGAAGTCATGACGGGCGGCGACGACTAAGACGAGCTAGGCTGGTAATGAAGATGGGCACTCCAAGGCCGGGATTTGCCTTGCAATTGGCAAGACCCGCGCGAGTGTGCGTTTCTTCCTCATCACCCCAACGCACGCTTCTGCAAACTACTAAACTACGGCCGAGCGGAAAATTGGACGTTTACGATCATCCGTGGTATCGTTGGTGGATGGCCAGAGGCTTTCATCATCTAAGACGAAGACCGCCGAAGGCTTCCAGACTCTTTCGATCAGCGCGAGAAGCAGTGAAAATGGAATCGCCTTCGGAACACCTTGATAAATCGGAACAGCGCCCGGCGCGAATAAAGTGGCGGCGATGCAAATTTCATCGTCGTGGCGAAACGAGCACGCGGGCAAAGCTCCGGCGCAATTATCCCTAATCGCTGATTACGTTCGCGTGGAAAGTTATAATTTTCTCATCGCACAGGTATCACCGGGATTTCGTTTCGTAAGTTTACGCGTGAAAGTATCGAGGGGCTCGGTAATTACATAAATCGTACGCGATGAATTATTAAGTATCTCGTGTGTGCAGATACCGCGTGCTCTTTTACGCACGTGAACGCCGCGCGCCTGGGCGATATCGCCCCGTGCGCAAAGTAGCGCACTACGTCCAAGTGCGCAAGGCGCTTTCTTCGTGCGGTCGATCGCGTCGCTATGACAGATCCTGTGTTTTCCTACTAAAAAAGAGAGATTAAAATCGACAAACTGCGGTGTATTGCCAGCGCGAGACTACCGTTCGGTGATTCCAACACTCCCTGGATTGCTTCTACTACGTTAACAAATTTCCACTTGAAAATTAATCATTATAAGCAATTCTTTGTGCCTTGACTTTACATGTTATTTGAAATATATACAAGTGTCATTTTTATAAAAGAAAAGAAGACATTTTTATCCATGATCCTCTGAAGTGTAACGAGACGCGTGCAACGGGAAAGGGAAAGGGAATAATATAGTGATAAGTGGAAATAGATTCACGCGGCTGAAGCAAATTAGAAAAACCACAGGTATTCAGAACGTTTACCAGCTGTCCGACCAGTGGCATTTCCGTCCTGAGATTGAACCACGTAATACTAACTACAGTAATAAACGTCGCGGCGCGTGCAACCACGCTGTGCGAATTCTTGCCAAATCGGGTATCTGAAATGTCTCAGTCGCGAAATTATACCGCGATTCTCACGTCGCGCACTAATCTGTTTCGCACGAAAACAGTCGGCCCGATAATCCCGCTTATTATACACAGAAATTTCTTTCTAGCGCAGAGAACAATTATTTCGGAGTCGGAGTCAATGAAACCTGAAGTGTCGCAACTTCGTGTCCCGATGACCCCCAATGCGCTTCGAGAAGAGACGGAAAAGAGATTATACGAACACGGAGATTATTTAGTTCCAACGCGTAATCAACTTGACGCCATGAAAATGTAGTTTACGGAAGAAATAGGAGGAACGCCTTAACTGCATATGCTTACATATCGAGAAAGTACGCGATCTCATTACTAACTGCATTAAGTTAAAATATTAATAAGTTGATCAATCTGTGTTCACTATCGATCTAAATATTTTTTAATGTTCCCATATCCCATTTAATATGTACGTGAAAGATCTGTGGTTTTAATAATACAAAAATTTTGAAAACAATTTAATATAACGTTTATCATTAGTAGTTCAATATGCTAAGATCTTTTTAATACCAAAAAGATCTGTGTAGATTTCAATATAAAAACGCAAATTGCGACATTTATTACATCATATGTGCAAGTTGCATTCTATCTTCAAAATTTCAAAATAAAACAACCTAGAAAAAAGATATTTCTCCTACAAACTGCATTTTCACGCACGCTTCTAGGCTCATCACCACAGAGACAAAGTTAAATTGAACAACGTAATAGCCTCGCGTACTGATTAAAATCTGTACGTGAAATATCGTGCAGCTGTAGCAAGCGTTGACTTTTGTTGACAAAATAACAAAAATCGAAAATCTGCGAGTTTATGTTCCGAGGTGAACCGTGATTTCTACTTCCGCACCGATTATCTGAGATATTTTGGTAAACTACATATCACTACGTAATACACACGTTCGTGATAATTTCGTAATAATTTATACGAAAGAAAAGTTCTCCTTTCACTACTTCGGCTCGATCAACCGATGTCTACAAAATTTCCTTCGCATTTAAGATCATGTATTACTTGGGCGATTAAATAACAATAATGACTCGAGATCTCGTTATTGAAAGTCAGAAGCCGATAGACAGAAAATGGCATATTATTTGCTTCGGTAGTGTGCAGTAGCGCGCCGCTATTACGAAATATGCCTGTTCCTTTTTTATTTTTATTGACAATAAACACGCTGAACTTTTAGTGAGTGAATTACGTCACTCCAAAACGGTCAGCGTATAATAACCGTGCGTATAACAATCCTGCGGTGGCGAATATCGCGCTCAACGCGTAAATCAAACGTTAATCCCGTTAATCGAATGTAAATCGCGAAATCGGTGTTGACCAGAATTTGCAGCTACTATAAATCTTGTACAAACCGACATATATGAGCCGAACTGAGCACTCATTACGTACTTATTTTATTCTACATAATGTCATATTCACAATTTGTCTTCGTCTTTTTCCATTATTAGAATGTTTGAAATAATACTAATAATAATAACAATAAGAGAGAGAGAGAGAGAGAGAGAGAGAGTACAGAGATATACATGTATGAATATAATTGATATGTATAATGTGTATATATAAAAAATATGTATATATAATGTACGTATATAAACACAAAGGTAAAATAAATAACCTATATTTATTTGAGAAAAGCACGATCGATACGCCTGTATAAATAACCCAGTACGTGTATCGGCGAAAAGTAAACGATTTCAATACGGGTTAGCAAGGGAAAAGCGGTATAGCGTAAGAAAGCGTGCAAATGTCGTGCATTTATCAAAATTTGAGCCGCACTGTCGTTGTTTTCTTGTGAAAGTGAGATAAATTATTATAAATGTTCGCATTTTCGATACATTGACAAGAATCGAGCGTATGAGCCGGCCGAAAGATAAATTAAATACTCTGATTTATACTGTTATCTAAGAAACCACGTGGCTTTTCTGCACAGCTTGAATTATGCGAGAAAGTTTGGGCGGGAGATCATAATCTTTTCCAGAACGAGTTAGTATTTTTCGCAAAATAACGCGCGATATTCCATTAAAAATATATAACTCGTGCGTGCTGCGCCGTTAGCAACATTGGACCTGTTTTAAAGTTCCTGTCCAACAGCTCTTACGACTAGTTCTCTTACACGACAGTAAACACGATTAAGCAAATGCTCAACTTATGATTCACTCGGTCATCGTTACATATAAATTTCCGGATATAATTTGTAAATTGTACAGAAAAACATTTTCTTCGTTTATTCTAATATTTCAAATCAGGGACATAATCATCCGAGAGAGATTTTTGACTTTGTATAATAAATTATATTATTTTAAAAATAAGAACAGATATGGATTGTTGTAATAATGTACGATACGACATTCCGATGGAAGAATAATTAGTTAATCGAAATAATTGAATATTATATCGCGTTGTCGTATTTATCAAAGACATATTGTCACGTGTGGTAATAATGAATTACGTATCGTATTTGTTATCCGCGTATGTGATATATGTTTCAAATTAAAGCGAGACACGTTCGAAAGTGAGTTACGGCATACCTTTCATCGCGTAATCTCACTTACAAGCTTCTTCAATAAAATACTGATATAGCCTGTATTGATGATAAATTTCGTTTTAAATATGTCATGCGTACGCAACATCACGATATGAAAAAAAATAATATATGACTGCATACGATCGTATGTCTATATTATATAGACTTATATTAAACTTAGAATTATATATTTGTTTTATAAACTCAAATTATTAATGATAATCCGAGTCAGTAAATTTGGAGTAAAAACACATAATTCGAAATACGGAACAAATAAAAGTTATATATATATATATATATATATATATAATCGAATCCATAAATATAGAATATGTATGAAAACATTTCTGCAGGAATTAATGGTTTAATATAATAAGTCAATAAAGATTAATATCCGATATAATTAAAATTAAATTATTGTGTTATAAATACAAAAAGAAAGAGAATTTAATGATAACACAAATATAAAATTCATGACGTATTTAAAACGAGAGTATATTCCCTACAGAATATTAAAATTCCAGCATCTTGATGAAAAATTCAAAACCTTTTTTAATATTATAATTTTCCCTTTTTAAACGTTCTTAATCGATTTTCCTTCTATTAAATCTCAGTTTATCGAGCCACAAAGTGGAAAGCAAAATCGAGACGTAACATGCGATATGAAGAACGTATATATGTACTTCTTCATCGCGTCAAATATGCCGAGTTCGTTGTCATTATGGTTATTCGCAATGGTCCCAAGAGACGATCTATAGAATATATCTCTCAGAAATGTGCGCACTGCGATTAAACGCTCGTTTAATTACAGCGTACGCTGTTTGACGGGACTTTCTCCGCCAATTAGGTATCCAAGTTGAGTTAGCTGTTGTGAATTCGATAACCGAGTTGCTCCAAAGCATTAATTGACATTTCGCGGACATTTTATTATGCGTCATTTATAAAGATAGAAAAAGAAAATGTCAAACATTTATAAATCTTCGAAATCAAATTAAAGGAATAATATATATAAATATAATACAATGTGGTAATAAATTATATAATTCAATCAATGAGGAAATGCACGATTGCGTTTATTGAAATTGTAACACCAAGAAGCTCTCAATTGCCCAACTAAGTTAATTTAGTAATTCTATCTTGAATTTACTTTTAACTGTAATTTTAATCATTATCGATATTTCTAACTCAACTGAGGATATGATGAAAGAGTTAAACAAGAATTAATAACTAATTAATTCCAATTATTATTGTGAGAATATTCCTCGCGAAATTTAACACAGAGCATAATATTGCATCTTAATATTAGAAAAATATCAGAGATACGTTCAACTATTTTCGATTCATGTTGTGTTTAATCACAGATTTAATTTTTAATAAAATTATATATAGATATAAATTATACGTACTATTATGTCCTCTATTAGGTAATTTTAGAAAACAGGCTTGTTAGCGAGTTTTGTCATAATAGTTTACTCGTCCTCAGTATGATACATCAATTTCTTTTTACGTGTTACAATTTCAACGAACGGAAAAATTATATATTACAAAAAACTTAAAAAATTTGTATAATTTATATAATTCGTGTAACGTACAACTGTTCTTAACAATTATACGTTACACAAATGTCAGTGCGATTTATGACTACGCATGCACTACTCTAAAACTACTGAAACGTGAATGATTGTCAACGCTCACTCTCTCGGTGATGTTCCTCAATGTCCAGTAGTCAGGTCTAACAAACTGCGTTGCTCTGCATCCAGAACCTAGTCTCTTGTTCCTTTGCAACAATGTCGTCCTCATGTCAATTGCATATCACTCGCAACGAAATATTCACTCACAACGTGACGTTCGTACTTTATGACATGATATCCGTACTTTATTCGCGACACGATATTCGTACTAGACTCGTGTTCGTACGTTGCTAGCGATACGATATTCATATTTCAATGGCGATCAATGAATATGACGAATATACGGTTATGGTTATTTTTCAAAACTGTTTTATCAGTAATATATACTTCAAAAAATATCCTAAATCTAATTGATGTGATTTTTTTATGTAACGTTTTATTTGTGTTGTACCTGACATAAAAAGATTATTTTTGAGATAAAAGAAAAATATCAATACATATACATTGTAAAGTTATATAGTTGCTGTTACGATATTTTTTCAATATCATCAATTTATTTGACGGTAACGAAAAATATACGAATCTTTTAACAAATATTTAAAACCAATTTGAAGTTTGTAAATTTTTTAACGCGTATCTATTAATAACACTGTAGAAATATATTCGAGTTTAGTGTATACAAAATTGTGAATTCATTCTTTATTATTCTATGTCAATTATGGCTTATTTCATTCGCGACGTGAAGATGTATATAAAAAAATTTCAAATTAAGAATTAAATAAAAACATTATTAACAGAAAAGTGAAACAATTAATAAATATTATCGCAAAAATTTTCTTTCTTTTGTAATCACGACGCATATTAAGAACGATAAATGAAATTATCACATGACCTATTATATTGAGAAATGCCCGTATATAAATATAATTTTTTTTTTAAGAAATGCCCGTAAATTAAAAACTAAATTTGTGCTTATCTGCAAAACGCGCGCGTAAATGCGTTGTAAATGCATATGTAAAGATCAAGTATCGAGATGATTGAATTTATCAAGGTAAAATTACCACAAATTCTATATATGGAAATGAAATTCTAATACGTGACTATTTTGCAACATATTTTGAGAAATTCAAGAGTCGAATTATATTTGACAGTATTCAAACGATTACATCTGAGATCGATTACATTGTATATTCTGGGAATTAAACCGTCAAATGAAACAGCGGTACAAGTCATTAATAATAATAAGTCACATGTATTAAAGAGAAGAATGTTTCACTAATATCTCAACAAACGTTGACATTAATTTATAATCAATTAATTTATAATCAAGAATTAAATTTAGTACTATAATCAAACATTAATAATATGTATATACTATACGGATGTTTTGCTTCTCAAAAAAGGAGAAACATGATTGTACCATTATATTTCGTTCAACGGTTTGTATTTATATGCAATATTTAATATGCAAAAAATTTCTACAGTAAATTCTAGAGTAAATCGCACTGATTTTTAAAGATTTCGTAAATGACCCTTCACCTTAAATATTTTAAACTATTTTTTATATTGCTCACCAAACTATTTTGAAGTCAGAATCGTTCACAATCTGTAACAAAAAAAACATAGTTTTGCGAGTTAGATTTAAAATTCAATAAATAACTGCATAAAAATACAAGTAAGTTTATTTTTCACGATCATAATTTACGTTATTTTGACATAGAGTTAAACATAGAGAATGTATGATCTTACCTTGAAGCTGATCCTGAATGGCTTGACCCTCCGGTACTGCATTTACGAACAGTCCAACTATATCCTGTATGTTGTGGTCGGTTGTAAGCTCTGGTTCAGATCTGAAACACAAAATAAAGGTCTCCCATAATTATGATAATACAGTTATGTATTGCTCGGTTTGGTAATTCATAAAAGTGATTTCCGATCAATTTGATCTTGGTATATGTTATCAAGGTTTTGTGCCTGAGTAACATTCGAAACGTTATATGCGTTACTTTTAATAAAATCGTTAGTTTTTAATAAAAGAAGTTTGTAGAACATGACAATTTATTACTTTATTACTTTTGTTAAAACTTTCATGAATAACTTTCTAATAAA